AGGCATTACTGAAAAGTGAATGAAAGCATGCATCTTGCAGAATTTATTACATCTGTCTTCATAATGGCAGTAGGATATCTCTCATCATAGTCTCTCTACTAACTACATAATGCCCCTTTTTTCAGGGCTAATGTGTCAATCCAGAACCTGTGAATGGATTGTTACATGCATTCCTTGTAAATACATTAATGTAAATCCCATGTGGTCTGTCCATCATATTTTATATATAACAAATGTTTGCATTTTTTAGACCGTGAGATTGCTTTTAATTTCATCAAGCCCATATTACAAGAAACATTTCACATCTCCTTTGCTTGAAGTTGCCTTTGCTCCTCTCCATTTGTCTTTTCCTGCTGAGGAAATGGTAAAAGTAGAACAATGAACCTGGTTTCTTGTATTCTTTTAAAGCAATGGCTAAGTATATTTTTATATAGGTGCAGTCATGAATCCTTCCTGCACCAATTAATATACTGTTGATGGCTCTTTAAAAGCCATTTCTTTTATCAACAGCTTACTTAATCATGTAGACAGTCCACCTAAGTTTACAAAGAACACTTAAGGAGGAAAGAGTGGCAGATGAAGAATGCCAGGTATGTGGTATTTAGTGTAATAAGGCAGATCTTGACTTGTCCATTAATTACTACACATATGAAACAAGCACTCAAAATGGAGAAATAGTGTGTCAGATTTATGATGTATGCAGGTATTTGGTATATGGTTCAAAGATATTAGCAGAATGAAGAAAAGTCCAGGTATAAGGTAGGAACAGTTCTTACTTATTAATGCTTCAGAAAGGCATTGGAAAAAAATGTTTCACCTTTACTCTTAGAAATAAGTACGTATAGACCTAATCCTCATTCTATTTCAGAATCATTCTGTGAGAAAATACAATGCAGGAAAATAAATAAATAGACATTTTTAAAAACCTTGGAAAGATGTTCTAACATTCTGTTACTCTAAAATCTGTCTTCCTAATTATCTGTAAAGAACTATTATTTCACATTCAGAAACACAAAGCTTGAGCAAATTATCAGCAGACATACATTATTCGAACTTACTGGTGATAGTTGACCAGGGCAAGGCACTAAGTCCTTCATAAATGAGCTATTGTGAGGAAATACAGCTTTTAATAAAGAAGTGTAAACTAGGTACTCTGTTGTTGCAGCAGGCTAAGAATATGTATGCAGACAATTGCTGTATACCAGCTGTTGCATGGTAACTGGATGACATGCTACAGCTTGTTTGGATGTCAAGAATGGCACAAGGATAGCAGAGCTTATCTCCCAGAAAAATTGTGTACTAGGTGTCCTTGGAATTCCTCCTACTCCTGCAATTCTACCTACTGTACCAAAGTGAAGCTAGTTGATGAAATGCCATCTGAAGATGGCAGAAATTCATAGTATGACTGACTGGTGCTAGAGTCTGTTTAAGTGTAAGTTCCTGCATATTTAATTTATTTAGGTTTCATGCATTAGGACACCCTAAGTATGCATCATTCAACAATGTTTTTAGAATTTTCTGTTACTAGCAAATTATTAGCTCATAAATATATTAGCAAATATATTACCCTTTTCCTTCCCTTCTCTTATTTATTACATTTTATTTACTGCAGAAGTTTTTGGCCACAGTGCCCAGTGCCCATGGATACCAACGTGCCTGCCCTAGAGCTGGACTCTGACAGCGATCTGGACAATAATACAGATGATTAATATATAGATTGAGTAATGAAAAATGTAACTGTTTTATTTACTATGGTTCATTTTCTATTGAAAGTTAGTTATAAAAGCTCACATAAATTAATGTCATATCATACAGAAGTTTATGTAAAAGTATGTAAAAAATAGCTATATGAATTTATTCATTTGTAAAACAAATGATAAATTTGTATCACTGTTTAAATGTTTTACTCATTATGATCATTCTTGTCATACTTACTAAACCTTCTGGAAGATTAAATTACATATAGTATCCATTCTTATGATTGAAAGACTGCTAAATGAATGGCAGTTTTAATGACTTTTCCCCAGAAAGCTCTGCAGTACTTTTCAGGGAGTCGTATCAACAGATGGGTACAACTGTGATGGAGCTGACTAAATCACAAATACGGCAGTTGCAGCAATGCAGTCTAATGGAAAATTTACCTCAGTTGTGAAGAAGTGAATTAATGCCCTCTCTTTTAAGAAAATTTGTTTTCTGCTATCAGTTCTTCATGACATTATACACCTTTGTATTTTTGCAAAAGGGCTGAATGCCTTAAGAGAATATTTCCTAAAGTGGGATAGTCATATTGTTGATAGGTGTTGACATTGAAAGCATAGTAGAATGCTGTCAGGTTTACTCTGTGTCTTTTCCTCTAGAGAAACAACTTTGTGCTGTGTTAATATAAGCAGCCAAAATAACATGAGTTTAACATATTGAAGTAACTGCACTTATAATAAATGATGCTGTATTTGTCCTTTTAAAAAAAAACAAACCACCCAAACATAATCCATGTAGGCCATTGTTTTCTAGTTCATCCTAGTTTGTGTCTTTTCAGCAAACAGCCATCAATGCTTTATAAGTAGTAGAAGCAAACTCACCTACTTGGTCTCTAGAGGTTTTGAATGTTTCTATCCTGATGAATGACCCCATTAATTAGTGTGTGTATGTATATGCACATATTTGTGTCTTCTGTTGATTGTGACCCAAAGGATTTCTGTGAAAGAATCTTATGTGCTATTTTTCATAGCATAGCAGAGGCAATACATTTGAATAATTTGGTGATGTCAGCGAGGGGTATCTGCAGTTCAGTTACTGACATGTTAATTTCCGTTTAGCAATGAAACTGGAAGGAAAGTAACCCACTTTGAAAAGTTTTAAGTTGAGCTGTCTGGGATATTCTAAAGATGGTGGACAATTTTCTGGGGCAAAAAGAAGAGTTAAAAGGTTTCCTGACAAAGTTCCCCTGAAACACTTTCTCTTTAAAAAATCAATACTTTTGTTGTTTGTTCACAGTATAACGATTTTGAATTTGTGATATAAAAGATCTTATTATTTCAGATATATGAAAGTCTGTTGCATTGTGATACTGATCTGAAGTTGAAAAAACCCAAACCACTCCAAAAACTACATCTATGGGCAATTTTTAGCCACTTTTTTTTCCAGGCTATGTCCATTGTCAGTTTCACTGTACTATGTACTGCCTCACTTGTTAATAATGATTTAGCATGAAGTCAGTGAAGTGTGTGCGTGTATGTTTAGAAATTACTTTTACATCTGAAGTAATGGAAAGGAGAAAGGAATAGGAAAGAACTGGGTTCTTGTAAAAACAGAGTAATTAGGGACTGAGGAGTGCTGGTGAGTGATGTAATTTTGAGGTCAAATAGCAGGATAATGCCTCAGACTGTAATCTGCCAAGAGATATCTGCAGCTAGTGAAATAGGTGAGTTCCTTGCTGAGTCATTCCAGCAAGAGGACTTAAATTTCCAGAAGAAAGATTATGAAGCTCAGTAAAGGAATTTTTAATCTTTCTATGAGTTACTGCATTGGAAAAGGGAAGAAAAAACTTGGTTGGTCTTCGTGATTTAGAGGAGGAACTTAAAATTTCACTGTGCTTGCAGGTTTTGTTACAGAAATGAGAATTCACAATCCTCATGAAAAATTGAGGAACACTCCTGTCTATGTACTCAGTAGAAGCTTCACAGTTTTTAACAGTTTTTAACATCCAAAATTAAGGTTCCTGTTTCAGTCAGCTAACCAGATCTCTTCACAGAAATAATTTGCTGTACTTTTATACCAGATTAAAGGTGCTAAAATGGATTTTCACTATAAAGACATACTAATTCATGCTGAATTAGAGATGGGAGGGGAAAAGAAACTAGAATAGAAGAACAGAAAATAGGGACTGTCTGCTTTCTATAGTGTATGTATGTGGATGTGTATATGTGTATATATAAACTCAGAATAAGTGCATATATGTGCATGCGTATATAGAGAAGTGTTTGTATACATTTGTAGAAGTGTACTTCTATAGAGGTATATAAGACAGTGTTGCAGTATTGGAACTGTTATGCAGTTCTAAAGGTATGTGGTGGCACAAACTGTACCTATATTTTGTGCTGTTTCATTTCTAGGGCACTCTGTATTGCCAATTGCAATGATTAAAAAGGGAGTCTTATTTTTAAATAGGTGAAATTAAAAAAACAAACAAACAAACAAAACAAAACAACAAAAAAAAACCCAAACCAAACAAACCCACACAAAAAAAACCCCAACCAAAACAAAACCAACAACATTTTAGATCTTTGCCTTCTGATACTTTAATTTAAATCTAATTGTATTTTAAATATGCCTCAAGCAATCACAAGATTTAGGAATGTATTTGTAAAATTAGTCTCACTGAACTGAATGAACACGTACTATTGTGTTTCTTGTAATAAAACATGGAAATTGACAATAGCAAAGACTCAAAATTACCAAAAAATAATATATTCAAGTAACATTCAAGTAACATTCAACAATGCGGTTCTTAATATTGAAAGAAATGCAGAAGATGACTCATACAATGTGTGGGGAGGAACAGATATTACAAATGTGTGAAATCTCTTTTTTCTTATACTCAGTCTGAAGACACAGAAAAGTAACTATTAATCTCTGCTGACTTTAATCCCATGACAGAAATAATTCCCGCCTTTCTCTGTTCTTCCTAGTTTTCTAATCCCTCTGAGTGGAAACAGACTGAGACGATGTAACTTTTAAAATATGGAAGCAGTTATACAAATTCATGTAGCCATTACTCAGGGAATGATTTGCTTGTTCAACAAGATAATCGTTTTTGATTGCAGTTTGCTACACTGTAACTGTAGGCAAGCTATGCCAGTTTTCTTTAACTCCTTAATTGTGTTTTTTTGTTCCTGTAATTTATACTTGATGTATTTAAAGAAGTTATATTTTTCCCACAGTATATGCAACAATCTAATGCAGTTATCAGTACATTATAATTATGTTTTCTTTTTTAACAGAGGGAAGGAGAAAAAAATCACAAAGTCCGACTAGCAGTTGGAAATGGAGTAAGAAATGATGTATGGAGAGAATTTTTAAACAGATTTGGTGCTGTTAAGATCTGTGAGTTTTATGGTGCTACTGAAGGAAACATTTGTTTCATGAACCACACAGGAAAAATTGGTTCTGTTGGACGCACCAATTTCTTTTATAAGGTGACTATTTATTTACATTGTACTTTGTAAAAGAGAGTACTGAAGGTAAATGTTTCTGTTTAACCACAGAACATGGGGCTGCAGTCATAAGCACAAAGTAAATTTTCTAACTTAGTTAATGCAAATTTAACTGACGCTCTGTAAAATCTTTGCCAAAGTATAATGGATAGTGTGTAGTACCGAACCCAGTTATACTTTCAGCAGGAACACTTAGATTTTACTTAAAGTTCACAAGAGTCAAAAAGGCCTTGCCTCTCTTCTGACAGTTTTGAGTAAATTCTGAGTATCATTTCAAATCTCTATTATATTAAAGGACAAAAGAGGAAGTTGGGTTTTAATACCTAAGTACTCATCATCTTGTGAAATAAACACACAGTTGTCCTTAGTGTTCTACAGATTATATTTAGATCTGTTTTCAATGAGTATTTTTATATTGTATGTTGCTATGTAAATATTTGGCATAAATGGGAATTAATAGTAATTAAAATAAAGTAACATACAGGCAGATAGAACTTTAAGAGATATTTTAAACCTATGTGCAATTAGCATAAATAACTCAAACTACATCTAGTTTGTGTCATTATTCAGAAATTTCAAAGGTTATACAATGCAAACATAATGACTGCTGAGTAATTGTGACAGACAATACTTGCTAAGGCTATTAATTTAAAAATTCTGTGCCACTTTAACTACCAAGTCAGCTATATTTATTTGGTTTGTTCTAGGTCCTAAACCCAGAAAAAACATACATTTTCTCACTGCTTATTCAGTTTTGTATTTCATCAGCTTTGACAGGGAAAGTTGTATGTTTTAGGGAAGAAGAGTACACATTATTTACACCACATATAGTGGATTTTCTTTCATCCTTCTGAGTAACTGAAGAATAATTTATTTCAGCTTGAAATTCACAGATTTTTTCCCTTTGTGTCCTTTTAATACCATCTCTTAAATGGTCTGAGAAGTCAGTAACGTGTCCCAAGCTTTAGCTAATAATATAAAAGATTATTTAGCAAGGCTTTCTAGCAAGGACACTAGATATTTAACAGTATCTTGTTATTTACACCAATTTTTACTCATGAAATAAATAGGACTACATGCATTGCCTAGAGTTTGCAAATTAACTGAGATACCTATCTATACTGAGATGCCTATCTAGATTTAAATCTATTTTTAAATCCTGCTGATTTAGGTATTATTTTTGCCCCTGAGGAGAACAGATAGTAAAATTTACTGACAAAACGTTTTTTTCAGAGAATGATGTAAAAATACTGTTTTGGAAATATATCAGAGGTATCTTCTGATGACATGCAAATGGGTTTCTAGGCAGTTTATGTTCCAGGATCCACAGCTTCAATACAGTATCCCTGCGTTAGTCACTGCAGAGGAATTCTTCACTTCTGGGATAGAAACCCAGACAGTAGGGAGGAACCTGGAAACACTCAGAAAAATGCCACAAGAGCTAGTGTGTTTTTCAGAAATTATTGAGAGCTCAGGAATTTAAGCAGGCCAACTCTGCTGATTCTCTGTTCTACATGACTGATGCTCTGTAGTATGCATGGTGGACTTCTGGTTCTGATGGATGTCTCTAGAAGGATACAAATCCACTACAGGTAATCGAGAATCTGGAATATAGTGAGTAGCAGGTGAACTAGGAACATTAGAGCTGATATTGTTTTTGTTTCAGACTTAAGTCACATGGTTTAATTATTTTAAACTTTTATTTCTTTTTTTTTTTTTTTTAATCTTGTGAAATTTTACATTTGTTCCAAACCTGAGTAAACTTGTTTTCAATATTTTAGAACTTTTGACAGAGTTTTGTCATAAGTCATTAACCTTTTAGAAACACCATGTGAAGGTTACAGCACATAAAGGATTAGACTTGAAATTACATATTCATTGATTTCATTATCTGTATTTTTATCAAGTGGTATGGGAGTTTGTCATGTCTTAGTAGTCTATATGTCAATAACATGTGCTGTTTGTGTTTCCAAAAGGAAGATTAGTATTTTGGGGTCTTTTGCACATGGAACATACTGTTTTTTCCTTTTTAATGATTGGATTTAGGATTTGAGTTAGTCACTGAAGATTAGGAGAAAAAATAGCTCATGAAAACTGTAATTAAAAAATAAATGCACTTGTAAGTAAATACTTCACATCACTAAACATCTTTTCTCTAATGTATGTACTATTCCAAGTTGGAACTGTTATAGTTTATGGAAATATCAGTATAGTCTGCTAAAATAATTATGGATTGTCCCCTTGCTTACTCAGTATGAATATGGAAAGACCATAAGATATTTTATGAACCGGAAAAAGCCCTTCATTCCATTTGGCTTGGCTTGAAATCAATTTTATTGTCATTTTCAACAATCTTTTTTTCCCTTGAAATAAATCTACAGCAAGTCTTCAGTTATTTCCATAGTTTCTGTCATAAAGAAAGTAGCTAAAGCACATTATTTGTGAGCAGCCTCAATATTTAGCTACTACCATTCTCCAGGGGGCCTGAGGTGTATTGGTTCACAACCCTTCCCCCACTGTATATACATTCAGCATTCTATGACTGTAAAGTCTGAGGGAAGAATGAAGGTTGTCACTGAAAACCAGATTGAGTGCAGAGATGAACTCTGTTGCCTTTGTTACATGGGCATGGTATATTTAGGCAGGTCAGTAGATGGATTATATGACCAATTTTATGTGGAAACAGGATTGACCCAGATTTCTTTAAAATCAAGGAAGTTTCAGAACACCATCAGGAGCTTTTTAGTAAGTAATATGTTTTGATCCTGTGCATTTATGATTGCATGACATAGATGGTCTCTCTCCGAAAGAATTTGTCTCAGTGAAACAACAGGCCATATCAATAAGATTACAGTAGTTACATATCTCAAATTAACAGTTCTGCAATCTATTAACTACTGGGGCTCTGCTTCTGTCACTAGTGCAGTTCCTCTGGATGGCAGTTCCTTCAGTCTGTTTCATGACAGTTTTCAGGAACAGCTAGCTCCCTCGTATGCTGAAGCAAAGTAGTGTTGACATGAACATGGGTTTAGGTATAGTGCAGTTTCAGAAAAGCCTGGAAGAGATTGAGAGAGGAAATGTTGAAAGTACCATGAGATGTATGTTTTAGTGTGTTTTTTTGTTTGTTTGTTTGTTTTTTTGTTTGGGTTTTTTTTTTAAGAAAAGTACATATTTAAACCAATACTTATGTTTGGGGACCTTTTATATGTGTTTTTGATCATGCCACAATCTATGAGTATTGTGACACAAACTATGTAATGCCATAAATAAGTTCATTTTGACTTATTTTAGGCATTTGTTATGGATTTTTAAAAACACGTTTTACACAGATTATTAAACGATGAATTCTGAAATGTAGCTGTTGTGTTTGTTTTACTTCAACCTGAATTACATCTGCTGGACATCTAGCAATATGTAAAAGAGAGCAGCTTTATTTCTGGTTTGCTGACCCATGAATGATCTGAAGTTGGAAAGGGAGACTGTCTCCTGCTGGAAAGCAGAGAATGGCACAGACAAGGCTCAGCCATCCAGTTCCTATTCTCTTTTGTTTCTTCAAAGAAATACTACAATAACTTTTGAAACATTGTTTTCTTGACACATGGGACATTATTAGAAAATACCCTTAGACATAGTTTCTAGGGATTTCCTAAACACCTGTTTCTTAAACTGGGAATAGAAAGAAATAGAACTGAGGAAGAGGAGGAGAGGCTTGTTTGTTTAATATATTGTCATACAGTAAAGGAGAAAGAAGAAACTTACTCTCTTTCTACTGGCATAATTGCACAGTTGGAATGAAGTAAAGGCACTATAAAAACCCATAAATAACGATATTTGAGCCTATAGTGGGAATAATAGAAGATAGGTTCAAAGTATAAGATTTTTAGCAGGCAATACAGAAAATAAATAGGAAGACATTTCTGTTGTAGGTAATAGCAGTGGCACAGTTTCTAAAGGTGAAATGCAGACAAAAGTTACAGCTTTAGAAGACAAATTGAGCTCTCAATGAGCAAAGGAACTTTTCTGTCAGTAACTGCCAAGGATTTCAGGCAAATAATTGTGATAAATACAAGGTTTTACATAACACATTTATTTTCATGAATAATTTGGAAGATGCAATTTAATAGGAAGAAACAGTTAATGTTACAGTAGTTGCCAAACAATCAAGAAACCACTGTGTAAGAGATGTTAAAGCAGTGCTTTTGTTTGCACTTGCCTATTTTCACACTTTACTCAAGAGAGGTTGGTTCATGTGCTTGAAAGCATCACTGTGGTATATGAATAAATTCTTCATTAAGGATGTTCATACAGAATCAGTAAACAGAACAGTAGCAGCCTAACTTTTTAGCTGGTAAACTTAAAATCGTTTACAAAGAAGATAGTGTATGGATTAATATAGTAACAAATTACTGTTTAATATTTACATCTGACATACATATATATCTACATCTGACTACATATATATGTAGCAATGATTATATATTATATAAATTATGTGTGTCTTTATATAAATGTGATACAGGAAAAGTTTGTAAGATTCTCAGTCATGTCCATCAAATATATATATATATATATATATATATATATATATATATCTTTCTTACGCCAAAATAAATTATGAGTGTTGGCAAAGAACATGCAATGAGAGAGTGGGACTAATGAAATCCAAGGAAGCTACTAAGAAGGGCTAAAAACAACACGTGGCAAGTAGACCTGAAAAAACAGCATAAAAAAAAAACCACCAAAAAACACACTTTATTTATAAATTTATTTCTTCATTTTCTTAAGCATAAGTATTCCAACTATTACAGGAATCTAAATATCTCTTACTTAAAGCTGTGTGGATCAAAATCAGCTTTGTGCTTAGAAACATTTAAATCTTATAACAAATCATAAATCACCTCAACATATAAAATACTTTCTCTTTTACACAGTAATGCAGAATTAGTATTATGCACTTATTTCATACAGTCATAGAATTTATGTGGTAGAAGAGATACTTTTTAATTTAAAAGTAAACAAAGTTAGGTTTAAGCAGGTCTTAAGACCCTGGAAAAAATGGATTCACAGCAAAAACATTGGTATGTGTCAATTCAAGCAGTGGAAGCTCCTAAATTCATTGGCCAATGAAAATCCAGTTGTTAATGCTCTTTTGACTAGTTTCAAGCTAAAATAATCTAAGGTACTTCAATTGTATTCCAATGCATTTTATTACACTATGTGGCAATTCAGTTAATATCAAGCATGGCTTAATTTATTTTTTTTTCTTGGTATTGTTTACTTTTGCTAATAAAACTATGCAAACGACCCATGTATATACTCTTAGTAGCATAAATAAGGCAATACAGATACATTTTTAAAACATTGAGAAGATATGATGATATTATGGTCCAGAATTTTTTTTTTTTTCTTACATTTCACTTTTTTAAGGTGTTTGGAACTAAATCTAGTAAATGTAATGCTTTAGTTTATAAATATATATTATTCTAGAGCATTCAATAGTATCTTATCTCTAAAACAAGTAACTAACTAAAAAGCAATACCTTGTGATCTTTGTACTCTGATGAATGTTCTGTGAGCATTCACTTTAAGTTGAAACTTTAGGAATTACAAAACTATTTTCAAAACCGTATTTAAACTCACTTATTTCTAGTTAATTAAAAAAAAGGGGGGTGGTGGTGCTGTTATTAGATAACATCCAAGCAGCATAGTAACCAACAGTAATGTTGCAATTTAAATTATTTTAAGGTTCAGATGGATAAATGCTTCTCATTTGGTATATTTCTGTGGTGCTTTAGGGAGTAAAATGTAGATTAAAATGATGAATGCTGCATGCAGTACTCTGTGAAAATATTATGGTAATGTTGTAACAGCTCAGGCCCTCTTTTTCAGTAAATTTTAAATAATGAGATAAAACAAATCTAGGCCTGTACCCAGACTAAATGCATTGCTCTGGGGCTTTCAATTCCTAGTATTTAAGATGAAAAGAAGGCTGATTGCACAGAGACAGCTGTTTGCATGGAATGTATATTGGCATAGTTTCATTATGCATGTCTACTGCATTATCTGTTTTCTCATTTTATGTATTTGTATGGTTATTATTTCAAAAAGCTAAGTGGAATAGGCAGTATACTCTAAAGTTGCAGGCACTAAAAGATGTATGCAGCAACATAAATAAAGTTTCTCAGGTTTCAACAGTTTTAGATGGTCTCAGGTACTAAATTAGTTTCTGAGTATTTATAACAACTTAAAATAATGCATCATACAGATTATTATGTTCACAAGATGCATCTCGAGCTCTGAAGGAATGAACAGATAAAAAAGAACTGAATAGAACACACTGGTGTTCTAATATCAGAATAACATTTCATTTTATACCATTTCAGCCTTATTATTTATATTATTCATTGCATTTGGTCTGTCGTATGAAACCTATTCAAGTAGTAAATATCAGTGTAAAAATGAAAGTATAAAAGAACAGCAATTAAATGTAGACAGCCAAATGAAAAGACTCTAAGAAAAAATTACTTGCATTTATTATTAATACCTCCCATTTTGTTCATCAAAAATAATACTATTATTTTCTCCTTAAGGTGAAATTTTTGTCTCTCAAATTCTTGACTTTGGTAAATGCTATAGTCTGTAGGTATTAAGAAAATACCCTTTATTCAAAAAGACTTCAGTTCTTGGATCATGATTTTGCACACTATTACCTTATATCTTTGATTAATTGTTAAAAATATCAGACAAGGTAGAAGGAAAACAGTGGTGAATATTGAAAAGACTCAATGAAACAAGTTTGTCCATATAAGGCTGAAATTGTGTGCTTGATGTTTGTTCAATTTGCTATTTATTCAGATTTCTTTGAAAACACAATTATGTGATATAGCTACAGCAACAAAATAGGTTAAAATAATTATGCAACTCTTCATCAAAACTAGTTGCAGAAAAAGCAAAGGGGTTTATATTTTAGCATGCTACTCTTCAGTCACTTTCATAACTTCATCCTTAAATTATCTTGCATTTCTTTATTGTGAAGACTGAAGGTACATATGTTTTTTAAATTGTTTTCTCTGCTTGCCAGGATTTCTTCAGGAGAAGATAACTGATAACCTTGGTTTAACTAATTGTTAAATAGATTGCTGATATATTCCTTTATGAACAGGGAAATCGGAATCCCAGGCTGGGCAAACTGAAGTCTTAGGATAACAACTGTAAAGACAGTGGTCCATACAGTACTGGGCATATGATATCTGTCAATGTCTCTGAAAGGTCTAATTTTGATTTATATCACAGTAGAAAAATTAAGCAAAATAAGAGTCAGACCCTGTATATGTTGGAGAAAAAAAAAGTATTGCAATTTCTAGTGTTGATATGTGTATCTTGCCCTCTTCTTCAGCTAACTTAGAGACACATTCTCTGTGATCCTTACACAAGATGGAAGTTAGCTGTAAAACTTAAGCAGGAACTCAGTGAAATGCTGGGGTTTCAACCCCAAGCCCCAAATTAAGGCTGACATATGGATGATTCCTACAGCCCTTCACAAAGGGGGGGTGAGTTTAACTTTAGGCTTCCCTCCAGGGAAGAGCCATTGGGTAAATGAGCCCCAGGTGTCCCACATTAAGTAAACAAAGGTCAGGTGTCCCACTTAGGGATAAAAGCTGGGACCACTTGCAGGAAGGGCAGTGTCTGTCTGTGAGGTGGATGCACTTTGCAGAGTTTGCTATTGGGGAAGGACCTCCTGTCTCCCTGGGTCTGGGCTCTAGTCAGGTCTGGCTTTTGTAAATGTGGGCTGTGTAGAGGTTCAGTAAGTGGCTTCCTTGGTCTTATGTGTTTGGCTTATTGACTCAGTTGTTTCCCATCCCTTCTATGAGAGACTGCATTTCACCATTTATTCCACCCATTGTTGGTTGTGTGGTGTCATTGTTGGGGTCAGTGGGGTTGATGTCGATTATGTATAATCTAACTGACTTGTTTGTACCCCCAGCGCTCACCTATGTATTGACCCTTTTGTATCAAATACAATTTGGTTATTGGTTTATCTTTATGCTGGCTGTGTCCTTTGTGCTAGGCCTGATAATTGGCAAAACACTCAGGTCAGCAGTGTCGGCACCCAAGGGTTCACAGTATTTCAGAAAAATGTATAACTGCAGAACATGTGCTGTATCAAACAACAGGGGAGTATGTATTCCTCTGCTGGTGCTCTTGGTAAGACTTTCCACCATATAGCAGCCTGAGAAAGCTTGAGGGAAGAACTGAGGGTAGTAAAGCAAGAGTAAAACTCAACAGGAAGCAGGGTTCCTTTTGTAAGGAGATTTAGGCTTTTGCTTTGCCAGTTGTTTTAGGTGTCAGAAGACCCCAAGAACACTCTTTATATCAGCCACCACCATTAAATGTCAGTTAAATTCCAGTTATGCTTCTATTATCCTGAGTTATATAGGCTCTTCAACTGACAGGTGGATCACATAACTTATTTGTAAGAAACCTAACGAAATTATGGTTCTGTTTCTTCATCAAGTATTTCAGACTATAAAAATGTTTTGGTGTTGCTTACCTCCAGGCAGTGGTGTAAGTTTAAATGCAGAGTATTTTCTGTTTTAAATGAAACTATGTTCTGCTTTTAGATAAGCAAGATTGGAGTAAAGGTTTATATTTGCTGCCACCAGATGTCACTGTGTAGTTGAATAACCGATAACCCTTTTTCTGCTTTTTAGCTTTTTTTCCCATTTGATTTAATCAAGTATGATTTCCAAAAAGATGAACCAGTCAGAAATAAGTATGGTTGGTGTGAAAAAGTTAAGAAAGGTAAGAATGTATTTCAATAGGATATAATGGCTTTTTGATTGTAATACAAATACTCCAGAGAATTTTTTAAGGAGCCTTGCTGTTGTGTTACTGTACTATGACAGCATCTATGTTTTTTAAAGAAGGTTAACCTAGATGATTGCCTAAGAGATTTACAAATAAGACTGGTGAATTAGAGCAAATGGGTTTTGGTGAGAGATTGTGTCTGAGTTGATTAAGTTTATCAACTTCCTTTATTAATTTCTTTATTAAAAAAATATTGATTATAGCTGTCTTAAGATTACTTATCAAATATCTGATATCTCTTGATTATACCTATTGTAAAAGTGTTTAGCAGATACTGAAGCATTTCTGTTATACTGTAGGAAGGTAACAGCTGTAATTAAAGCCTGAAAGCTGAAGGAAATAAAACTCAAATTGAAAATCAGAAAGAAAGCTCTAACAGGGAGCTGAAGCAGATTTTTCAGAGCAGTTATGAGAGTCTTTTAACAGGTCTTAAGCAAATATGGGCACTTTCAGGAAAATATGGCCCCAAAATACAGAGTTTTATAGGAACTTACCTATAGGGATGTCAGACTGACCTGTGAAGGGAACACATTCTGTAATTAGACAGCTGGTCTATTTTTTTTTTCCCCAGTTATACCAGTTGGTCTAAAAAAAAGTATTATCTCTGTCTATAGACTTTGTCTTACCAATGCCTTACAGGGCATGTCTTCAGAGCATAATGCCTCCAGTGATGCTACCAGTGAACTAAATGCTTTCACGTTAAACACTACCAATTTATGGAAAAAAGGCACAGCTCTCTTATGAGGAAGCAGTCTTATATTAAAAAGTGTGCATACCTTTGGACCCATTTTTATGTATTTTCAAATTTATAATTCTTGTCTCTGGTACAAAGTAATGTAACTCTTAAGCTTTATTCTTCAGAATGTACTTCCACTTTCAGCAAACTAACACCCTGATACTCTCTACATGTGTAACAGGATAATCCTATCACCACTTCTCCCTGGTTTTGAGTAAAAAAAGTATTGAAACTTTAATATTTTACTCCAAAAAGAAAGCAATGAGTCTATATCACATTAATGAAAATCCTTGAGAAGTGTTCTCAGAACTTCTGAAAGGAGAAATAAATAAGGATTTAATGCCTGGATTGAAACCTGATTTTTATTAACACTAGTTTTTCAGTAGGAAGCTGAAGTTGAGACTTTTATTACTGGAAATTCACTAAGGTGTGGGGGCTGGGACATAATATTCACTTGAAGTGTGCACTCTGATAGGATAGTAAGCTTAGTAGTGATATCACAATTGATAGGTGAAAGGTCTGAGAGAAAACTATGAGTCATCAGGAAAAAATACAAAAGACTGAGAATTTGAGTGGACGTTGTACCGTATCTTTATAGTCACTTTGCATGTAGAGGTGACCACAGGAATTGTAAATCAGTAGAAACAGTAAGTTGTTATTGGGTCTTTGGTACTGAACCTTGCCAAACTTGATTCCTAGTCTTGTAAAATCATATGTACCAATTTATTATTAATTTAAAGGATACAAAATGTGCAGTGATACCTTAGGCTTATATTCTTTCAATTTCTCTGTATAGGTGAGGCTGGTCTTCTCATTTCCAAAGTCAATGCAAAGAATCCCTTCTTTGGTTATGCTGGCAATAAGAGACACACAGAAAAGAAATTACTCTGTGAGGTATTTAAGAAGGGAGATCTGTATTTTAATACTGGAGATCTAATGGTTCAAGACCATGAGAATTTTCTTTATTTTTGGGACAGGATTGGAGACACCTTCAGGTATAATCATTGTTTCTTGTCACACTTCTTCATTAAAAACAACTGTTCTATTTGCTTTCAGCCAGAATTGTTCAGTTTATTACTATTGTGATGCAGTTTATAATGATCTTAAAGTGGATGATAGGGGCTTAATTTTGTAAAAAGTGTTCCCAATGGAGCTGGATAGATCACTTCCAGAATGTAGGAATTACAGCTCTTTGAACAGTCCTTCCAATAAGCATAGTAACTAGTGATGGTTTTGATGCAAGCAAGGAAGTTGGATACTGAAGTGGAAAAAGACGTTTCAAATAATAAAGACTGGTCCCATTTGATATGTTTTAGATGCATGTCTGTCCTGGTTCAGCTAGGATAAGGTTAAGTTTCCGCAGCAGAGAGTGAGGGCGGGAAGGGATCTTCAGCTGGGTTATTCATACCATGCTGACCATGTCCCATGTGGGGACTTTGGTCCTTTGTGGCTTTTGGTGATGGGGAGCACATGGTGGGTTTGTTCCATAACCATTGCAGTATTTCTCTCTATCTTTTGTCTTGTTCACTGTTATTGCTGTTTGTTGCTATCATTGTTACTGTTGTTGTTCAGATTTAATACAACAGTGCGATAAACAATTTCTTATTTTAACCTGTGGTTTGTGCCTCACTTCCTCCTCCACCCTCAGCTGGTCAGGCTGGGGCAACAGCAATGTTGTCTCTGGTCCCGGCAGGGCTTAAACCAACACAATGTCAAAATTTTGAAAACCATTATATCAGATTATGATGAGCTTTCATTGTGCTTTATAGTGATAGCTAATATCCAGTACCATTTGAATTGCTAGTGTTGTCTTCTGGTGATCAGATGAATCAATATACCAGCATGACAAGTGGGAAGAAATTTGAGTTGGTATTAGTCTGAAATGAATGGAGTTCCTATTAAAATCAGTGCTTTTTTAAAGAGGAAATGTCTGTATTTGTTCATGGGATAAAATGATTTTTTTCACACATTTTAGATGGAAAGGGGAGAATGTTGCAACTACAGAAGTTTCCGATGTCATTGTAATGTTGGACTTCATACAAGAAGCAAATGTGTATGGTGTATCTGTGCCAGGTAAAAAAAGCTTTAGGTGTATGTTTTTCTTCCCCTAGGTTAGTTGTTAAACCTCATAACTCTTTCAGTTCATGTTTTAAACTTATGAATCACTTCTGATTGACTCATCTGTTTAATACCTAGCTAAAATGTAAATGTAGATCATGAAAAAAACACCAGAATGTGAATGGGCTGGTGTATCATGCATTTTTGTGTATGCAATGATGTGTAATTTTGAAAAAAATATTTTCATGAATTTGTGACAGCTATGTCATAAAGTTTAAAGATTTATTAAATTTGCATCCATGGAAAATCCACACATCCATGTGTCAAAATGTCAACAAGGTGAGAATTAAAGTAACTCTAAAGGAAAGTGTTTAAAGACATTCTTCTATCTTATTACACTTTTCAGTTAGCCTCATAAACCATTTGTTAGGTGAAAAAGGTAGTTAAGAGAAAAATAATTAAATTAAGAGAATACATTCATTTCTTCTTAATTTTCATGCAATCATATGGGCTTGATTCTCATTCATGCTAAATATTTTTCTAAAATGTGTTAAGTATGGCTGGGATAGAGAGAAGTTTCTTTACAGGAATCTGTATGGTGCTATGCTTTGCATTGGCAGCTAAAATAGTTTTGATAGCCAAGTGTTAGTAAGTTATAGCTTGCACAGTATCAAGGCTTTCTCCCTGAAGTGGTTATGCTAGGGTTGGGCAAGAGCTTGGGAGCAGATGTAGACAGGACAAACTGACCAAAGGAATATTCCATATCATATGATGTCATGCTCAGTAATAAAAGCTTGAGGAAAAGAAGATGGTGAGACATTTGTGGTGATGGCATTTGTCTTCCCAAGCAACTACCACATGTGCTGAGTGAGGCCCTGCCCTGCAGGAAGCAGCTGAACATAAGTCTGAAGATGGGAAAGAGTAAATGAAGTCCTGGTTTTGCTTTGCTTGTGCATGTAGCTTTTTCTTTCCCTGTTAAACTGCCATTATCTTGATACATGAGTCTTCTCGCTTTGCTTCTATTCTCTTCCCATCCTATGGGAGAAGGAAGCAAGTGAAAAACTGGCTGGATGCTTAGTTGTTGGCCAGGGTGGTACACAAAATAATAAGTTTAAAATGAGAAAAACATATCACCTCTAGTTTAAAGCCACACAACAAAAAAGATCATAATGAAGAAGCATAACTCAAATGCTTCACATTTCCTATCCAACGTTTACCTGCAGATTCCTACCCGGTTTTTGCTTCTGTCTTTATTTGCACATAAACAAGTCAAGTACCTTAGATTTTGTAGCATTAGCAAAAAAAAAAAAAAAAAAATAGCTGATGGTTGAAGTGTGCAATTGGTTTTGATTGCTGAAGTTCATTGCTTTTATATTTCAACCATTTTGGTCTTTCCACAGGCCCACAGTACACTCCAGACAAACCAGTAAGAACTTTTAACCTCTCTATTAACAATGTTCAGATACCCAGTTTTGAGACAAGATACTGGCAAGAGAAAGGCTAAAACTGAAGAGAAGACATAATTGGCTAATCCAGGAAAGAGGCTCACCACTTCGGTTTTTGAGAACCAAATGGTGTTGATGTTTATCCACATTTATTGATTAATATTGAGCATGGATCTCCATTTACTTGTACCTGCCAAACTCATTTACAGCATTATTGCTTAACTGATCTCTTGAGTGATCTCCAAATGTATGTAATTTCATATAAAATATGAATGTAATCTTCCAACACTACTGAAACTCAGAAAATGATATATGAATGTCAGTTTGTTAATGCACTGCAGTTCTTTTTTGTAAGGCTCATCACTAAAATGTCAACTTTATTTCATGTTTCAAAATTCTTATCTCCCTTTCCCCCAGATCATGAAGGAAAAGCAGGAATGGCCTCACTTATCTTAAAGCAGAGTACATCATTGGACTTGGAGCAAATGTATAAGCAAGTAGTGACCTATCTACCAAGTTATGCTTGTCCTCTTTTTTTAAGAGTCCAGGTAAGATGCATTATTGCACAGTGCATACAAATATCTACATTATTTGAACAGAGATGGCTAAACGAATAACAGAAAGTGCTTGCTCATATATCATGATTAGTTTTAGAATTGATCCTATTTGCTGTCTTCATTAATGGACTCCCGAGAAACAAATTTCACAAAAAGTCAATAAAATTTGCGGATTATGGTAAAACAGGAGGAACTGTACAAATGAAAAAGGATAGAGATCATAGAAAAGGATTTAGGGAGATTAGAAGCATGAACATGGGAAAACAAAGTTTCATATTGTGAACAATTGCATCTGGAGAAAATAATCTAAAATCCATTTTATTCAATGGAAATGAGAAAAGATATATAGAGCTAAAGCATGAGACTGATTGTACACAATTAATGAAATATTATTTGTATAATACAATGATAAATGTTAAAGCATTTGAAACGGTACTAGGTAAATGGAAAAAGTGAATTGGAAATGTGCATTATTATTGTTACCATAGTAATGAAAGAAATCTGTATTTGGGTACTAGTGCTTTACTGTAGTAACTGTCCAATTTGGGAAAAAATAGTCCCTTCCCTAAAGAATTAAAAATGTGAACATAATACAACTGACTACATATGACTAGAAAAAATGAGGGAGTATAGAAAACATAAAATACTGATCATTACAGTAAGTGAAGCCTGATGAGCATCTTCGTTTTGAAGACATTTTGAAAGTATTTTGAAAACATCATGACAAGGGCAAAAGGAAAAATGTTTTTAAAGATGCTTATGAAGGAAGTCTCCTAAGTCTGAGGAAAAGATGAAGAAAAAAACTTGTTTTGAAAGAGAAGTTATGGCAGTTGGTTCCCTGGGCCAATCAGATGCTGAATACTAATTCAGAATAAAGGGGGGAAAAGGAAAGGCTGTGAAGGATCTTGAAGTTGAAACATATGTATATATATCTATCTCAAGTCCAAGAAGATACTTTTTGCAGCAGCATTCTGGTACAAACAAGATTACACTTGAGAATGTTGCAGTAGTCAGTTTATGAAACGATGAGAACCTAGTCTAGATTTATTACTATATAGAGATACAAAAAAGCCTTTATGCTGGGCAGAAGGGGTCTGAATCTTGGATGTAGCCTGGACATCAAGCATCTGGGACTTTGATTAAAATTTAAATGCCTACATTACATGAGAATTGCTGTTGGTGATGCTATGATCTGACATGTAATCATACCTTAGAACATATCAGAAAGTTTTAGACCAACAAATGCAGGTAGATATAATCTAGAGACAAATCTGGAGTAGATACAACCTCTGAGTTGTTGGAGATAATACAATTTTTTGTTTTCAGAGATTGTTTGCATATATATAAAAATGTAAAGTCAGAAGAGAAGATAATGGAGAGATGTCAGAAAGTGGGGCTGAGAAGAGGTAGGGAAGATAGGGAAAAGAGTTTCACTAGAGATGCCTCCCACTGCTTCTAAGGAACACAGCAACACTGAAAAGAAGCTTGAAAATGTTTTAAAATGTACAGTAAAGATCTGCCTTCATTTGGACCTGGCTGAATCTGAGTGTGGCTAATGTACCATGTGATTCTTTCAACCTTTTATTTAACATGACAGTCCTGAGTTTATCAGTAAGAAGTTGTTAATAATTAAGTTTTTACTCTCAGATTCTTTATGATGTGTAGTTTTAAAATGTGCACAAATGAAGAAGCTATAGGTTGTCTTGTGCAAGGCTGGGGCTACACCAAATGAGACACTGTCATGAGACTCTGCACAGCAATGCAGAAAGCAATGGGCTGTAACTTCTCCACCATGCCTCTGGGTGTTGGTCCATAGAAGCACAAAAGTTCTAGTTTTTCAGAGTAATGAGAATAAACAGTATTAACTTTATATCAGGTGAGATTTTTAAAAACCAAACATGAATGTGAGCAAAAGAAAATAAGCTCTTCTATTGAATAATGAATCTTTCTCTCTTCTATAGGAAAAAATGGAAATGACTGGAACATTCAAACAACAGAAATTTCGACTGGTGGATGAAGGTTTTAATCCATCTACAATTACTGATCCTCTTTATTTTTTAGACAGTTCTAAGAAAGCATATGTCTTGTTAACCAAAGAAGTACATGAGATGATCTTATCTGGGAAAATGAAACTTTAATTAACCTAAACTATTAAGTGGCAGTCTATATGAGTTACTCTGAGAAAACAGTAATATTAATTACCAGTATTTATATGTAATTATAAAAAATATTAATTTTATATACTTGATATTTACATTCAGATATGTCTTGTATCTTTCCTCACTTCATCATTATTGTTCAGTAATATTTTTTTTCTCTTGAGACCAACTTCTAAGTAAATGACCAATAAAACATGACTGAAATCTATTTTGTCTTAATTTTGAAGTAGAAATGCTGACTCTGATAGATTTTCTTAGTACTAAATGAACATGAATGATATGTGGTATGAAACACAGTAAAAATTTCAACATATAAAGATATTGTGACAGATGTTGTTGTTTCTAGAGAGAAAATATGCCAGTAACACTTTTTAAAATGTAGTTTATATTTCTTGTATACTTCTGAATATATATTTTAAGAAATAAACACTTGACAGTGTTTGGAAGAAAAAACAGATCTTCTGCAGAGGACTTTTCTGATGGAATGTTAGATGAAAGAGTAAAGGAGAAGCCCTCCAATCAAACTCAAAACTAAGGTTTATACTAACATCACTGCTGAGATTGTTATAATCCATGCTCTTTCATTTGTTAAACTGTCTTCTTGGAGTGTCAAATTCTGAATACAGAGCATTAGTAACAGATGAAGAATAGGCAAAGAAGATGTTCACACTTAATGGGGAAGATGATTGCCAGAGGTTATTGTATGAGTATAAAATATAGTAGAATTTTTAAAATACTAAACCTTATATTCTAATGCATTGCTTTTTAAAAGTTTTTAAAATAAAGTGTTAGATTTTTTTTAAGCCAAGTTCTGTACTATCCACATTTGATTATGTCTGATTGTAGCTTGTTTTGTTGCCTGTTTTGATATACTACCTGCACAATGACCTCCTCTAATGGAGCATGATGCCAGCTTTGATCAACAGGAAGCAGTATTGTAGAATACTGAAAGGACGACTGTCTTCAACAGTGGGCATCGTAAGTATCTGTTATAACTGTTGTGTGAAACCAGGCTGCCATAAAAGAGTAGGATGTAACATACTTAAAATGTATATTTTTTTTCTTCCTACTATGTTCATCTAACATGATGTTAGAAGTTGTGTCAACTTTTGATTCACTGATTATTACTTCCATTGGTTTTTCCTTAAAAACCAGAACCAAGGATGCAGTAAAAACATAGGGAGATTCATAGCTTGCTTATATTTCTGAATACAATCTTCTTTATCAGGCTGCCAGTATAAATAAGCAAGTTTGCCATTCTGCAATTTACAAAGCAGCAAGACCAAACAGTACTTACACCAACATTATGCTTTATGGTAGATGTTAATGTAATTGTTAAATACATAAAATGGGGAAAGGAAAGAACTGCTGGGTAAGGATGTAAGGGGACACTATGGTCTAGCAACTTCTTCGGTAGTCCTGCTTTTTATGTCTTCATGTAGTTCCCAAAATAGCTGTCTATGGAAGAATGCTGAGGAGGATGGGGGTTTGCCACTTATTCAGATGAATGGAAGTACCATTGCTCAGTTGTGCAGCTACTCGTGTTTCCCTAGTCCAAAACTGCAAATTTAAGAATCAAGTATTTACCATAAAGTTAAACCCAACTTTGCAAGTAAGGTTATAATTTTGAGCAAATGATTGATTTTTTTAAAAATCAAAATTATTTTATCTTTTACACCCATCTTAACATAAGTATGTGCTGAATGTGCCTCAGGATCCTTTTTCTTCTATCACAACAGTAAAAATTGTGTGGTTTCTATGGCAAACAATACAACTGAATCCTTTTTTTTTTTTAAATGTATACTGAGTTCCATAGTAGCCTGTTTAATCTTGTAAGAGAATATAAATGAATACAACAAAATAAAATTCTTAGCTTTGGTATCAGATTTACCACTTATTTGGTTTATTTTGCTTTACAATATTTCTAAATAATTGGCTGTAAAGAGTATGGCCAGTGGAAAGGTTCTACCACTTAAATGCAACAGAAATGAGAGGGGGAAAATATTTTAAAAAAGAGATAAAGAAGTAAATACCTTTTGTGGTTTAAAAAAAAATGGAAACTGTCACTATTTGGTGGCTTATTTTGTAAAGTATCAGTGATGAAGATGTTTCTGTGTGGAGTGGATACAGCAGAGAGCATTAGAGGAAGAAAAATGCATGTGTCCCAACTTTCATGCTCTGTCCACTACTAGGGCAGCCAATTGGTTTTCCTGAGCTCTGTGGTATATTTCAGCAGCAGCAGGACTTAGCTGGCTTGAGCAGCCTATAGATGTCTGTTTGCCAGGTGTGACCACTGGAGAAATACCAAATTCCAGCTACTCCCCCTGTATTCCCTAGTGTAACCAAGACAGCCTGGGCAATTGCAGCGGGCGGAGGAAGCAAGCAGCCTATTCAATGTGAATGATAGAGCAAGCTTCAACTTTATTGAAAGAAATCACACCTTATATAAGCACTACAATAATCGTGCATACTACTCACAAATCTATTGGATACATGTAAAAGGCTATATTATAATATCCCAGCCCCTTGTGGCATTTCAGGCATGTCACACCACCTTCCTTCTGGCCTGCTTTCTTTCCCAAGGCTGTTCCTTTATCATACACAAGGCCATAATGTACCTCAGTTTCTCTGTTTGTTAACATAACAGTCCTTTGTTAGCATAACTGTACCCTGGTTTTTTTCCTTTGTTTACCTCAGATGGCTGCAATCAGCTCCTGCAGAGACCCATGGCCTTGCTCTCTGCAAGCCTTTCTCCAACAGGCAATCTGCCTTTTTTCAAAGGCTTGTAAGAGAGTCCTGTCCCATGCACCATCTCAAGAGACAGGATGCTTATGACATCAAGAAAATAATAACAGGAAAATCTACAGCACCACAGGCTCTGTATTTCCTAAGATGACAGTATTTTATTTTCAATCCAGTAGTTTGATTTCTTTTAGCCAGTAGGTTAGGTGCCAGCAGATACACTGAAGCATACTGCAGCAAAATGTCACACTTCCTATGAGTATGCAAACTGTTGAACTGGCACTGAAGTTAGACTAAATCATAATGATGTTCATGTCAAACACCTGGAAGGGCCTGCCTTTCAGAGTGAGAAAATATTTGGACCAACCTGTTTGCTTACCATCCTCATACCCAGATCTATATGTGGAATGGCTTGAGTGTCACTGCAAAATTATGCCCCAGTATTTGCCTGGGAAGCTTTATTTCATATATAGTGGGCGTGAAGAAGCAGCTGAGTGGTTGGGTTGTGGATAGAAAGCTGTATCACTAACCTCACATATTAAAGAGGGAGAGATTAATATAAAGGTAATTATTTTTGAGATTTAGTATATATATCTTGAGGCTTCCCTCTGCAACTGGGGATGGTCAATGATGAAAGAAATGTTTATTTAAAAAAAATGAGATTGGAATTGTCATTTAGGAAAAGTAAAATTCTGTAAGGGTAAACATATCCACTCCCTTGTCCTAGTGAATCTGGAACAGTTAATACAGTTATAGTCTGGATTAATTTTCATAAAGCTTTCTCAGGATCTCCAGGAAACAGTAAAAAAACCCCACAGAGCTCCTAGGCAGATCATCACCTGAATTTTATCCTCCTCACCCAAGTCACGTAGATACAGCTTTTCAAGAGGTGAAGCATCTAAACTGTCTCCCACACCCTCACTAGCATTCCCATACCTGTAACAGCAACCATAAAGAATGCATTTCAATTGACCTACAAATTCTCTGCAGATAACATTCAGAAAATATCTTCTACTGTTAGTTTTGCATATTTTTTTTATGGAAGAAAAAAGAGACAAAGGCAGGAGCAGTCTTGTTTGCATTTTTAAAATGAAAAAATACTGGGTGAATATGGGCAGAAAGACAGAAAAGACCCTCTACTTCAAAAAAAAAAATGGAAAAAACAATGATTCATTTTCAGTAGCATGTCTTCAGCTAACAATTAAGCTAGTAATCCAGTGTACATTCTCACATACAGCAAAATTATAAGGCATGTACCAATATTTATGAAACTTATTAAGTCAAAACTAATTTCAAGCAAATAATGTCCCTCTGATTAAAATGTGCTATATTGGAAAATGCTTTTTACAGTAAAATTAGATGCAGAGATTCAGTAGAGAGCCAAAGAAAGTTGCATACAAATAGTAGTAACTTCAGGAATAAATTTAGTGTGATGTATATTATTAGAAGTACTGTCAATAACTGACAACACTGCCTGACAGTTTTGCCATAAGGGTACATCAGAAGACCATCAGGTTGTGTCCTGGTATTCAAGACATAATACCTTACATATTATACCATTAATTAGACAGATTATATGATGGAGATGGCAATACTAGTTTTAAATGAACTAAGTCAATACCAGAAATTAAATTCCTGTATCACTAAGAAATCTAAAAGTTCTTCACAGTCAGAATCTTTTACCAAAATAGTCTTCATTCAGTTTCTCCAAAGACTGCATCAGACACAGTTCAAATCACTCAGAAATTGCTTTTGCAATATAACAAAGCAGTCTTCATTGCTGCTTTGCAGCAGGAGATACACTGACCTATTTCCATCTGGAGCTGTTTCTGGCACTGTGAGGTTTGCATAGTTCCCATTATTATAGTCCTGCATTAGAAGAGGAGGGTTTGGCATTATGTGAGCTACCATATACAGGAATAATTCTTATAAAAAGAGCACCTAGACTGGCAAAAAATCCACTTTATCTGATTGGCTTAATCACATCCAGCTTCCCTAAATTGTAGTGGCTAATTTGGGAAACACGGTGTTTATAGCCAATTTGCAGTTTCTTTAACAAATTTATTTTACAAATGTAGGAAAGCTACCAAAAGTTTGCACCATGAAATGCAGTTAATGGAGATATTTAAGAGGTTTTTTAGCTACACATATGGTGTTTGTTTAATTAGAACCACAATAGAGTTATGCTCTAGAACTATTGAATTTAATTGTAAGGTTAGGGAAGTGGAAAGCAATCTACAGTTCCTGCATGCTGGTTTTTAGAAGCTGATGGACATAAATACCTTTTAGTTTTAAAGCTCTACTTTGACATTTGAATGAATGACATCATTAGCTTTTTATGCATCCACCAAAGACAGTAGCTGGTAGTTTTCTGTAATAAAAAAGTTAAATGTCAGAAGATGATTTTGATGTTCATGTCAGTTTTGCTGTCTATGAATATTTTTAACTTACTGAGAAGCCTTATTGAAATATAACTGAGATATAGATCTGAGAAGGCTCCTATTTACTAACACAAATGTGTATGCGTAGCATCCTGTTCCTACATCCTTTAGGAAAAGAAGCTGGTAGAATGAGCTACTGCTCAGGCATTCCTCTCTGAAGATGTATGTTCAAATTCGTGCTTTTACAATACCAGTAAAAATGAATCCTTTCATACATGGAGAGTACGGTTGGGCACAAATGAATTGATCTTCACAATCTGCTCATGAGCTAGGACTGGTATAGCACAGCTGTGTCTGCCTGAGCTGGAAAAGCTGTGTAGAAAAGCATGTCCAGTGGGGAAAAAAAAAAAAAAAAGCAATAAGGCAATAGTATAGAACAAGTCTTTATTATTAAATACAGGCAACTTGGAGAAAACTATTAGCATATAATAGAAGACAGGTGTGTTAAAGAAGTACCACAAGGTGCCTAATAGCAATGACTTTGGAAATACTGGGTAGCTAGGCAAATATTTAATGATCTCATATCTACCCATATTTTATTTAATTATATTGGCATTCAATAGAATTTTTTAAAATTACTGTGGTTATGTTCTTCATTTGGATAAAAATTCAAGTC